AATTAACACCTTGAAGTCCTTCAAAAATACTTCACTGCGTGGCGTTTCTCAACTCAGCTCTTCGACGTTTGGAAATGTGGTAAGGCGACGTCTCTCCTGTTTAATTGTCCACCAAAACCACCAAATTTACCAACTCCGCATTGAATTATTTAATGCATACAGCTGATGAACAGATATTCCTTAAGACATTAAATAATTATTTTGAGTCTCACACTTTCTCAACAGGTAATCAATTATGTGGAAGTTATATTAATTACAAAAGACTTTCACGGTCGATCGGAACCACATGCAGTTCAGCAACATAGACCATAATTTGGGCATGCAAGCAGAATGACTGATGCCCAAATTTCGTGGAAGATATCGACGGATTTATATAAACAGTGTTGAATTTATATTATTGAACTCAAATCAAGTTTGTTATTCTGCAACGAAGGATTTATTCCGGAGACACGCCTGAGTTATATCCCCGTACCCTACTGGGTCATAAACATTGGAGTTGAGTATTGCATGGGAGTCGGTGACTACAAAAGGAATTCTAATGAAACTACCACCTCCATCTTAACGTTTCCGCAACTGACCCGCGAAGCTTTTAAAGGAATATTTCGTGCAAAAGTTATCTGCTCGCTTTCAAATATTGTTTTAATTTACCGAGCCAGAATTTTCTGAGAGTATTCTTTTTTTTTTTTCAGTTTTAGCGCAGATATGACAGTCATGCCGAGTAAGCCAGGGGCTCTCATTTTTTTCGGCTTCAAACTAGAAACAGCGTGATAGGTTTTAAAACTCTATTTATTGCAGAGTTATTTGAAAGAAACAACCTAACTATAAATTACACTTTTGGAGTACACCCGTCTTTCTAATAATGTTTAATATTCTTCAATTGCACGCTCTTCTTATTGGTTGCGAGGAATTGTTTCGTATAATAAGGCATACATTCTGAACGGTATTTAGAATATCATCACTCCTTCGATTAACTGATGCCTCACAATAACTAAAGTTTCACTCAGACCTGAACATCAATGGCGGATCTGATTGTACAAACCAGTGCTGTCATATTCATTCTGAGTAACTTTGTGGTTCCCGCTGCCATTTCGCAGGCTCTCATTGGTAAGTAAACTCTGATTTCATATAATCGCTGTCCGTTACAACTACAAGTAGTTGTTTATACAAAAGTGATCTCTGTAATGGTACCGAGTATATCAACTGCCTGAGGGTTTCTCTGCAAGAACTCAAAACTGAGCAAGATCTGTTCAAAAAAGACCGATATATACGGTGTATGTATATATCCCTTCTCCACTAACAGTCCCAAAAAAGCAATAAATTTATTACACCGGCCATTTCAGTGATTGATAAAGAAAGATAGAAGTGATATCTCAAATCGCAAACGAAAAATGACAAAAATATGGTTGGTCTAAACGCCTTATTCCTCACAAAAAAATATACGCTTCTAAGGTAATTTGTAAGTGTTTTGTGTGCACGACAAGCTATGTGATAAAGTCTAGCCTTAACTGCATATGCAGCGCTTATTCCAGCTGTCGAAAAATGACCTTACGCTCATATGAAACCATTTGTAAGATCTTCAATATCTCTTCTTCAGTGACTGCTGTGGAAAACTTATAACCCGCACAGATAAAAAAACTCATAAAACGCACATAACTTATTAATAGGAGTCAACACCTCAAACCGGGAAAACAGAGGAAATTTCCCATGGAATCCGCAGGGTTGCAGTGATTATAACATTTTTCCAGTGTTAGAGATCATTATCATTTTATGACCTTGGATCGCATATACCAATGATTATATCTATTATGTTTATAATATTTTTAATATCTATATTTAACAAACCAGGAAAGATGTTTTAATTAAAACAAGTTTCTATTTTTCTCACGTAAATATTGTACGTATTTCTAGCGCTTAATGTGTTATTATTGGCACTCGTTCATATCTCGAACTCTATGAATCTACACGATATACCTTACCAACTCAAGCTGAGGGCAATTTTTGATCAATTTCGCCGGAAAGTACCGCAATTATCTAATTGCTTTTGCCTGACCAATTTTGGTTTCCCTTGGAGGTTCGGAAAATAGTAGGTATAGAGCATTTGTAAACTACTACCAGTTAACAATCATTCCAATGCTATTCAAAGATGGCAGATGTACCCTGGTCAAGGTTTTCGCCCCAAAATTCGACAAATCATTGGAGGACCATGTGCTAGCGTCATATCCGGTGGAGAAGGAAGATGACTGCCAGATGAAATGCTTCAGACACAAGTACTGTGTGTCGTATAACCTGGGTCCTGCAGTGGAAAATGGTGTGCGAGAATGTGAAATCAGCCAATCTGATGAGTTTAGAGACCCTCAAAACATGACGGACAGGCCTGGGTACTTCTACCGTGGAACCGAGGTAGAGTGATCCTTACTGACAAAATTAACAAATAGATTCCATGTTGCCGTGCGTCTGTTCAGTAATAGATCACAGACGACGTCAAAATGTGGTAAGAACAAACAAGGGGTACATGAGTCTTTTGGCGAGCGTGTTACTGATGTTTGCTGTACTTTGGAAATAAAACTTCAATATCTCATTAATCTTGTTAGTTCGTGTGACAAATATTTCGTAATGCATGAAATGTCTATTTTGTTTTCCGTGAAACGTGATCTAGACCCCTTATTTTACCAGCCTCTTACATCTTATCTTTGTCCAACCCTACTCTTCACTGTTCTTTAGGCTAGAAATACGTGTAGCTGGGATTTGGGAACTCTAGGTGTTCCTTTATTAGCCTGAAACGTTCGTAGAGGCATATGCTGACCTAGTTGAAGGTCTTCTAAAAATATAGAAAGGTGAAAATTTAGGTTTGCAATTCCGGCAAACCCTTCTCGGCGTTTGTCATTTCTATTTTCAACGCCTACAGCTACATCTTATATTTTTTTCTTGTCCACAAGGTTTTCGTGGTAGCATATCTCATTTTGTGTTCTTTTGTAGAACTCGTGTTCGACTGGTCCATGCCCTAAGAACGCTTCGTGCATTCCAAACTTTGAATCACTCGACATCTTCCAGTGCGTGTGTCCATCAGGCTTCACTGGAGAAATTTGTGCTGTCGGTGAGTATGAAGAAACAGCTAGCAATTGATATAATTGTAGCCTGTGAACAGGCTCCGGCTGGAAAGGTCTGGCCTGTTCACAGGCTAATATAGTGGCTAACGACATCTGTTTATACAGTTGTATAGTCACATCATGACACTAGTAACCAATTGCAAGGCTAAAAAATCTTCATTTAGCAAATGATTCGATCAAATCAAAATTCAGAACCGCGTAANTCATGACACTAGTAACCAATTGCAAGGCTAAAAAAACTTCATTTACCAAATGATTTGACCAAATCAAAATTCAGAACTGCGTAACTGCGCAGGCAGCCTCGTCCCCGGGGTCTCCTCCTCGATGATTTTCAGAATTGTCCTGGGGACGAGGTTTCGAAGCCAGGCTCTCGTCGACCTTAAGGAGCGTAAGTCGGGAAAGCTTCCATGTGCAACACTGGGGGTGTATTTCACTATTACGATATATTACTGATCCTTTTTGTCAAAATTTTTAACTGATACAGATGTTGACGAATGTCAAGAAAAATATGACAACTGCCACCTTCATGCCAGCTGCAAGAACACCGCGGGCTCATTTGAATGCTTCTGTCACGATGGATTCACCGGGAACGGTCGCTTTTGCGCAGGTACTGAAGTCTGAATATCCCGCAGTCACCTGCCAGAGGCTAAGGCAAATGCAGTGTGGTTGCTCTATTCCAATTTATATAATAAGTCAAATTATTCTCGCATTTTGATTGGTTCTTACCTGTGATCAATTGGAGGACAGACGTAAAGATGACGTCATTAACATTTGTTGGTTTCTTTATTATATAAAACAGATAGATTCCATGTTGCCTTGCGTCTTTTCAGTAATAGATCATAGACGACGCCAAGATGTGGTAACAAAATCAGTGAAACACTCGCCTGACGACTCGCGTGCCCCTTTTCTGTTCTTACCACATTTTGACGTCATTTGTGAGCTATTTCTGAGGAGACGCAGGTTATAACATGGAATCTATTAATTAAACAGTGCATTTCCTTATTCTTTTAAGCAGAGAAAATTAAAGCGGCTGTATTGAACAAAAGGGACGATTTGGCCTGAGGAACTAAACTGAACAAATGCATGATAACTTATTGAACTGAATTCACGTAACTCTAATCCTAGATTAACTTAGTTCAGCCCCCTCCGATGGACTAATCCTTGGATTATTAGTTTCATGTTGTTCCTTCCTCCACTTTGTATAGATATTAATGAGTGTGATACACAACACCATGGTTGCCACGTAAATGCAGAGTGCATAAATACCGTGGGCTCAAATAAGTGCTCATGCAAGCCTGGGTACAAGGGAGATGGTGTATCTACATGCGAAGGTAAAACGAAGGCAAAACGGTACTGTTAAGATAAAAATAACTCAGTGTAACATGAGGTCCCGACCATCGTAGTGATAAGAATAGTCCTATCAGTGTCCTAAAAAAATTGTGAAAAAAAACTAAAGAATTGAAAAGCGACATATTCTCAGAAACAATACTAAATNAACATGAGGTCCCGACCATCGTAGTGATAAGAATAGTCCTATCAGTGTCCTAAAAAAATTGTGAAAAAAAACTAAAGAATTGAAAAGCGACATATTCTCAGAAACAATACTAAATCTGGGATTTGTAGAATGAAACGACTAGAAGTATCCCTACCCCGCCCCCCCCTCTCTCTCTCTCTCTTGCCCGGATTGGATGCTAGCGCATCCAGAGCCCGGCCAGAAAAAAAATTATGACTGAGGTAATACATGTGCATGGTTAAATTCTCCTTCTGGGTATTTAGGGTGTTT